GGCAGGGCCGTTCTTCCACGGCTTTATTTTCACTTCTGTCCATTCTCCAAGGGAAGTGGGGGATTGCCTGGTGAGAGGGAGGGTTTCCACAGTGCCCCTGCGGGCGCCCCACACTTCCTACTGGTAAAATGGCATCAAGGGCCCCCATCGGTTCAAGATGGGGAACTTGACTTTGTGGTGATGAGGACAGAGGCAGCCAGGCAGTAGTAAGTAGCCTTTGCCCTCCTTGGCGGCAGGCTGGTGCTCGGGCTCCAGGAGGCACGGAAAGTGGGCGCTCTGGTGGACGCGGTTGGGATCGCCCTGGGCCAGGTACAGAGCGTGGGAAACCGGGTACACGGAATGGCAGAGACCGGTGAACCTGCCTTCGCCCTCTGCCCTGGTCGCCCGGTCTTGGTCTTGTGGTGGGAAGAAGCCTGGGAGTCCCAGGTCTCTGGCGGTCATGGGAGGAGTTTTGAAGGCGGGGTACCCATCCTCTAACTTGGGCTTGGAGCTGGGGATCGGCCTGTACAACTCTTTGTCCCGGAGCTGGGCATCCAGCTTCACTTGCTGTGGAAATAAATCACACATGAACCGAGAGCTGAGCTCGGTGAGAGGCGAAGCTTCCTTGGCCTTATCCTCCAGGAAGCACACTTCTCTTTACTTAAAAAACATTGGGGGCGCCTGGGCGGTTCAGTCCTTTGAGTGTCCTACTCTTGATTTGAGCTTGGGTTGTGATCCCAGGGTGGTGGGATCCAGCCCCATGCTCCGTGTGACGCCCGCTTAGGATTCTCTCTCTTTCCCTCTGCCCCTCTCCCCGACTCATGCTCGCTCTCTCTTAAAAAAAAATTTAATTAGTTTTTGAATGGTAATGTATATGACTGAGGGCAATACTGAAATAATACAAAGGGTTTTTTAAATTTTTTTATTAAAATTTTTTTTGTAATGTTTCATTTATTTTTTAGAGAGAGTGCAAGCAGGGGAGGGGCAGAGGGAGAGAGAAGGGGACAGAGGATCCAAAGCAGGCTCTGTGCTGACAACAGCAAGCCCGATGTGGGGCTTGAACTCACGAACCTCCAGATCAGAACCCGAGCAGAAGTCAGATGCTCAACCGACTGAGTCACTCAGGTGCCCTTCTTCTTCTTCTTCTTCTTCTTCTTCTTTTTTTAATGTTTATTTTATTGATTTTTGAGAGAGAGAGTGAACAGGGGAGGAGCAGAGAGAGAGGGAGACAGAATCCCAGGCAGGCTCCCCTCTGTCAGCACAGAGACTAACTCAGGGCTTGAACTCACAAACTGAGAGATCATGACTTGAGCCGAAATCAAGAGTCAGACGCCTAACCGACTGAGCCACTCAGGTGCCCCATGTATCTTTTTAGATAGAGTTTATGTACATATAAACATATAATGAAGTTCCACACACCCTTGGTTTGTACACAAATGCACATTATAGTCCCACTCTGCACTTTGCTTCCACCAAATACTATATCCCAGAAATTGTCCCCTTTGTTTGTCTAGACCTTATTTTTTGGGGCGAAACCTCGAAATAGGAAAGGATTTCTTAAGACTTCAAAAGAGCAGATGATACAGGGAAAGATGCTATATTTTGCCAGTAAGAATTGGGTAAGAATTGCGATTCACTGAGAGGAAGTGAAAAGATGAACCACAGCCTGTGAACTTTTGCCACTTTATATAACTAACAAATGAAACATGTCTAGAATATGTAAAGAACTCCTACAAATTAATAAGAAAAAGACAAACATCCCACTTAAAAAAAAAATGGGCAAAAGGCAGGACAGACATCTCACAGAATAATAAATATCCAGAAACATGGGATCACAAGAAAATATTATTTCAAACCAACCAAATCAGCAAAACTCTGAAGGTCTATCAATACCAAGTGTATGGCAAGGTTGGAGAGTTACAGAACTGTCTCTGCTGCATCGATGTAACAACTTTGGCAAATAGCGATGTTACCTGTGACCAGCAATTCCACTCCCGGGGCGGTGGATACATTAGGCTGTGCAATCGGCATTGCAACACTGGGCAGTGGGGAGGGGTAACAAAAAAGTAAAAACCCAGATGGCCAACGGGACAGGCATGGTGGCACATTCATGCAGTGTAGTACCACACAGCAGAAATCAATAATATATTATATAAAATACAATGTTCAGCAAAACATAAAAGTCACAGAAGAGGATGAATAGTATGATCCAATATATAATAAAGCTCAAAAGGCAAACCTAAACAATTTGTTTAAAGGGACACATACATATAGAGTAAAGCTATTTTTTAAAGAAACACACAAGGGAGGGGAGCCTGGGTGGCTCAGGTGGTGGAGCATCCGACTCTTGATTTGGCTCAGGTCATGATCTCACGGTTCGTGAGTTCGAGCCCCACGTCAGGTTCTGCACTGACAGTGAGGAGCCTGCTTGGGATTCCCTTTCTCCCTCTGCCTCTCTTTCAGAAATAAATAAATAAACTTAAAATAAACACACACACACACACACACACACACACACACACACATGGGAATGATTAACCCAAAATTCAGAATAGTGGCTACGTCTGGAGGTGGGAGGAGGTGGGAGCAGGGAGGGGCTAACTAGGGCTCTCTGGTATTTCTAACGTGCTATGTTTTAAGCTGACTGATAATGGGTACATTGGTGTTTGTTTTGTCAATGTTATTTAAACTGTAAACGTATATTATGTACACTCTTTTGCATGCATGACTTAGAGTTGATGTACATTTTATTTTTTTTTTAATTTTTTTTAACGTTTATTTATTTTTGAGACAGAGACAGAGCATGAACGGGGGAGGGTCAGAGAGAGGGAAGCACAGAATCTGAAACAGGTTCCAGGCTCTGAGCTGTCAGCACAGAGCCCGATGCGGGGCTCGAACTCACGGACCGCGAGATCACGACCTGAGCTAAAGTCGGCCGCTTAACCAACTGAGCAACCCAGGCGCCCCTAGAGTTGATGTACATTTTAAAGCATACACACCCACAAAACATACACATAAAAGACTTCTTTAGATCTCCTGGTATCAGATATTGTTCTAAGTAAGTGCCCCCAATATCCACGCTCATAATACAAATGCAGTAAAGATGATTTCAGTCGGCCATTGAAGAAAAGACAAGACCGAGCGACTTCTTACCTCTTGTAGTGTGACCCTGGAGTATTTGTGCTTCCCGTAGGGTTGATAGTCAATCATGTAAGAGCTCTGGTATATATCTAAGTCCACAGGGGCCTAAAGGGCAAGGGAGATTACAAAACAAGAGATCCCGTCTTGCCATTCTTCCACCTAAAGGCAGTCGTGGCTTCTCATGGGCTACAGGACCAAGCCCAACTTTTGGGCTTGGCATTCAGAGCCCTTCACGATCTGGCTTCTACTGACCTTTACCACCTCATCCCACTTGGCTCCCCTCCATGCCCTCTGTACACCAGCCTCGCTACAGTCTACTACTCTTCACAGGTGCACATGCTCTTATCTCCCGCCGGAAACACCAGTGGTACTCCTCACGGACTGGCAAACTCCTACACATTCTCCAAAACCCAGATTAAATTTCGCCCCAAAACATCTATCCCACCCCTTCATTCCTCACCTCCCCCAAATTAAACTTTTTCTCCTCCGCTTTCATACAACATTTTACGTCCCTTGTTGCAGCACTTATCGTGGCGAATTGTAATGGATTTAATGAAGCACACAAGGTTAGGACCTAATCTTGGACATCTCTGCAGCCTCAAAACCCAGCACAGGGACCGACACACCCACGATACCTAATACATGCATGCTGAATACGTAAATGAACCCTCAGAACATTGCAAATCCTTAGCTTTCCCCTACTGGTTAAAAAACAAGGAAAAAACCTCCCACCATTTCAGAATGATCATCATAGGGATCCCCAAAGCGTCTGGGCCTGTTTGTTAAAGCTGCCCAACCTCAAAGTGGCCACAAGGGACAGACAGAAAGCCACAACACTCACCTGTCTGGAGTACACCACACCTGCCATGGCAGATGACCTAGACACAGACAAGTTGGTTAGCCCTGCTTCTGTCACATGCCAGGGAAACAGCCATTGTCCCCAAAGCTGTGCCAACCGAGCACAACTGCCTCAATCCTCTCAGCCCCACCCTGCACATGACTCAGTCACCCAGGGGTTGATGGCAGCAGGGATCAATGGGCAGGTGGACAGGGGTCCTGGGACAAAGGGGCATGAGCAGGCCCCAGACCGAACCTGAGCCGATGAGAACATCGGATTCACCTCTCAAGCAGGGCAAGTCGTGTGCTGGTAAATATTTAACAACCACCTTTGGAGGCAAATAAATAAGCATTTACCGATTTCTGCATTTCTGTCGTGCAAATGCTCCCACCATGGCCCATTTCAAGCTACCCACATAACGCTGCGCTGAGGAAGCAAGCCACGGGCCTAGGACTTACAGGTGCCCCGATTCAGAAGCACAAATCATGTTTTCCAGCAGGGATCGGGAGCATCCAGGGTGAAGAAGGTTCTGCATTCCCAGTTGAATGATAGCCACAGGTAGGTCCAATCCTGCCCCTCGACCCCCCCAGCCCTGAAGTTTTAGTGGGGAGCCTCACAGCTGGGCACTGGGGAGCAATCTGAGCTCACCCTGTCTTGTGTGCATGGACCCCTAGGCTCTTGACTGGTACTCCATTTCATTCCCATGGAACACAGCCCCGAGCCTATTCCATTCAGTGGGCTGTGACCCAGTGGGGTGGTTGCCAGACCTCAAAAAGTCCCTACGCCCCCTCCTTTTTGTGCATAAAGAGCTCCCCTCCTGGGGCTGGGGGCCAGCTTCAGTGCAAACAGCACCTACCCCTCCTTCTACCAAGCAGATGACGATGTTCCTGCCCTTCCAACTCCAGGTGCCCCTGCCTCGTGAAGAGTCCTGTCTCTGTGCCCCACCACCACACCTGTCTTTGGGATGCACCCTGACCTGTGTGATGCAGGCTGCTTTGATCACAGCCCCCGGTCATTGTGATGGGTGACCAGCTCACCTCCCGGGTGTCTGCCCCTGACTCAGCCTCTCAGAGCAAGTCACTGATGTTCCAGCACACCTGAGCCAGCATGAGCTCTGGCAGCAGCACTGGAAGGTACATGGGAGGCGGGGCCTTTACGGTACTCTACAGTCGGTCGTTTCCAGGAAAGGAAGGTAAACAGAACCCCACATGGATTTTGACATCAGACATTGCGTGACTCAATCCACTGCATACCATAGCCCCTTCAGGCAGGCCTCTGTTGGCTGAAAGGCTGGCTTGTCCATCCTCTGTCAAAATTTCACCCTCTTGCACGCCCTTTAGGATGGCTATAATCCAAAAATGAAACGTAATAAATGTTGACAAAGATACGGAGAAACTGGAGCCCTTGTGTGCCCCTGGTGGGAATCGGAAGGTGGCACAGCCACTGTGGAAGACAAGATGGCGGTTCCTCCAAAAATCACACCTAAACAGAATTACCATATGATCCTGCAATTCTTCCTTTGAGTGTGTGCCCCAAAGAATTGAAAGCAGGAGCTCGAACACATACTTGCCCGACCATGTTCATGGCAGCAGTATTCACAATAGCCAAAAGATGCAAACAACCCCAATATCCATCAACAGGTGAATGAATAAACGAAACGTGATATATACACATAATGGAATACTATTCTGTTTTGTAAAAAGTTAAAAATTGTTAATTCCAGTGTAGTTAACATGCAGTGTTATACTTGTTGCAGATGTACAATACAGTGAGTCAACAGTTGTATACCTCACTCAGTGCTCCTCACAAGTGCCCTCCTTAAACCCCATCAGCTGTTTCACACATCTCCCATCCACCTCCCCTCTGGTAACCACCAGTTTGTTCTCTATAGTTAGGAGTCTGGTTTTTTTGGTTTGTCTCTTTTTCCCTTTGTTCAAATATTATTCAGGGTTTTTTTTGTTTTGTTTTTTTTTTAACGTTTATTTATTTTTGAGACAGAGAGAGACAGAGCATGAAGGGGGGAGGGTCGGAGAGAGAGGGAGACACAGAATCGGAAGCAGGCTCCAGGCTCCGAGCTGTCAGCACAGAACCCGACATGGGGCTCAAACTCATGAACCACAAGATCATGACCTGAGCCCAAGTCAAACACTTAACCGACTGAGCCACCCAGGTGCCCCTATTATTCAGTTTTAAAAAGAAGATAGGGCACGTGCTGCAACACGGATGAACCTTGAGAACATTACGCTAAGTGAAATAAGCGAGACCACAAAGGACAAATATCGTAGGATTCCACTTATAAGAGGTGCCTAGAGATGTCAAAATCAGACAGAGGGGCACCTGGGTGGCTCAGTCAGTTGAGCGTCTAACTTCAGCTCAGGTCATTATCTCGCAGTCTATGAATTTGAGCCCCAAGTCAGGCTCTGTGCGGACGGCTCAGAGCCTGGAGCCTGCTTCCGATTCCGTGTCTTCCTCTCTCTCTGTTCCTCCCCCACTCGTGCTCTGTCTCTCTCTGTCTCGAAAATAAGTGAACGTTAAAAAAAAGACTTTTAAAAATCAGAGAGACAGGCAGGAGAGTGGTGGTTGTCAGGGGTTGGAAGGAACGAGTACAGAGTTTTAAGAAGATAAAAACTTTCTGGAAATGGCTAGTGGCAATGGTGGCACAGTGTTGCAAACATACTTAAACCACAAAATTGTACATTTAAAATGGTAAATTTTAGGTTATATATATTTACCACAATAAAAATTAGTCACTCTTTTTTTTATTTTTTATTTTTATTTTTGGGACAGAGAGAGACAGAGCATGAACGGGGGAGGGGCAGAGAGAGAGGGAGACACAGAATCGGAAACAGGCTCCAGGCTCTGAGCCATCAGCCCAGAGCCCGACGCGGGGCTCGAACTCCCGGACCGCGAGATCGTGACCTGGCTGAAGTCGGACGCTTAACCGACTGCGCCACCCAGGCGCCCCTTAGTCACTCTTTTTAAGGGCCACCTCTCCCATGAAGCTCTCCTTGTTCTCTTTACTAGACGCTTTTCATTTATCCAACCAATATGTATTGAGCACTATTTTGTGTTGGGCACTGTTCTGAACTGTGCAGATTCAACAGTGAGCAACATTCCGTCCCTTAGGCCACCACGATTGATTCAAGGAGAGGCTGGTGACCCAAGGTGGGCTGATGAGCATCATGCCAGCTCCTGGCAAAGCATCTCTCTCTTTCCGAGATAGCAGGCACTAAGAACTGTTGGCGCCTGGAGCATCTTTGCCACCAATCGAAGGGAGCCTGGCCAAAGAAGAAAATGAGCAGGGAAAAGAAGACCCAAGAGATGGAGACAGAAAGTGACTGTATCATGAGGACACCAAGCCCCTGGATACAACCATGCCTGAAGCTTAAACTACATTCAGACTTTGCAGTTTGTACGAGCCGATATATTCCTTTTCCTGCTGGAGCCAGTTTTAGTGGAGTTTGCACGACTTACAGCTAAAACAGTTCCAACAAATCCAAGGTTGGAGAGAGAAAGTAGTTATTTCTCCTAGCAAACTGTGGTGTCCTTCAGCTAAAGAACTTGGTGTTAGTCACCTTTTTATCCCTCAGTGCACTGTCCCTTAGATGTAAGAATTTAAGAAGTGCTTGTGAATGTAATAACACTGAAGGAAATGGTAAAGAACTCGGTAAAGAATGCAATCGCGGCAGAGATACAAGTGGAAGGGACAGCCGGGCCACAACAAGAGGCTTTTGTGCCTCAAGGATATAGTTCCAGGAAAATAAAACCAAGTGGAGTCCTGACTTCAAATCCTGATACTTGGTATCTTCACGCCTTTGGGTAAACCAGGTAAGTTCAGCAGAAACCAGTTTGATCATCTGTAAAACAGGTAAGTGATTTCCACCTGAAATGAATGTAGAAAGCCAAATGGATGGGGCACCTGGGTGGCTCAGTCGGTTGAGCGTCCAACTTCAGCTCGGGTCATGATCTCACAGTCTGTGAGTTCAAGCCCCGTGTCGGGCTCTGTGCTGACAGCTCAGAGCCTGGAGCCTGCTTTGGATTCTGTGTCTCCCTCTCTCTGACCCTCCCCCGTTCATGCTCTGTCTCTCTCTGTCTCAAAAATAAATAAACATTTAAAAAAAAAAAAAGAAAGCCAAATGGATAATAAGTCTGTGACGGTACTTGGTGGCTCTTCATGCCAGTGTTTACCCATGTTTTCTGGGTCTCTGCTCTGGACCAGACGTTGTACGGGGCCTGTGATCAGAGTGGTGACATAAAACAGAAGTGGTCTCTGCCTTCATGAAGTTACAGCTTAGCGATAGAGAAATATATTATATAAGTGAGTCTTTAAATACAACGGTGACAATGCCGTCGAAGAGAAGTTGGGTGCGGGGACCTGATCCAGTCTTAGAGGGGAGACCTGTGCCAAGTAGTGACATTATAACTCAGTCCTAGGGAGGAAGGCGAATGCTCTGGCCTGTGTGACTACTGTAGGACTCGAGGGAGCCCTGTCTTGTGTGGAAGACAGAGGCTGCTCTACTAGGGCAGAGTGAGGAGAGACAGGTGCGACTGACTCCAGATGAGGCTGGGGTGGGGGTGGTTTGTCCAGTAGGGTACACGGGGATTGGTGGGTTTTATCCTGAAAATAATGGGAAGTACTGGGGAATTAAAGCAGAAGGATGAAACAACATATCAAAAAGATCACTGATCGACAATGGCCTGGGGGGGGGGGGGGGGGGGGGGGGTGAGAAAGATGCAGGCAAGGAGTTTGCAGGCCACTAGCTGATGGTGGCGACTGGGACAGGTCAGAGGAGATGACAGTGATAGGGAGAAGAATGGGCAGATTCAAGAGGCATTTTGGAAGTAAACTCTATAGAATTTTTCAATGTTTATTTATTTATTTTGAGAGAGAGAACGCAAGCGAGGAAGGGGCAGGGAGAGAGGGAGAGGGAGAATCCCATGCTGGCTTCAAACTCAGTGCAGAGCCCAGTGTGGGGCTCGATCTCATAACCCTGAGATCACGATCTGATTTTAAGAGTTGGACACGTAACCAACTGAATCGCCCAGTCACCCCAAACTCTATAGAATTCATTATCAGGAATCAGCAGGAGCAAGACAGAAATATCAAAGATGGTTCCCAGATTTTGGGGATGAGCCGCTGGGGGTTGGTCCCCCTTTGGCAAGGTAGGAAACTCCAGCAGAGGAGCCAGCTTGGGGAGTAAGACAAATATTGCATTTGTGCGGCCTGTGTGGCTTCCAAGTGGGTAAGAGAATCTATAGCCCCCAGAAGAAAGGTCTGGACCTGTGATACACACTCTGGAACTGCTGGTGACACAGGCGGTATTTGAAGCTAACAGAGAGGATTTGCCACGTTTGGGGAGCATAGCTCCCTCCCACACAGCCCTGCGGTACGAGCCTGCCCTAAAGAGCTTTCCTCTGCCTCTCTAAAAGGGCAGCAGGAAGGGAAATAAGGCCACGGGAGTGAAAAGGTGAAGGGGTCCATGTACTCAGCCTTTTTTTTTTTTTTTTAGTTTCTGGCATTTGCCACTTCCACTGCGGTCAGGTTTCTGCAGAATCTCTGGGCTTCAGAGTTCATGGAGCAACGTCAATGCATTAACCTATAGGAGCAGGGCCGAGGCCTCAGATGGGCCACCCCATGGCTAGCCACCGTGGGCAGGTTCACGCCGAGAGCCTCAGTGCCCCCATTTCTTCCTACATCTAGGCTACAACATAGCTACGACGTGTCGTAAGCTCACACGGACGCACTGCTGGATCGCCATGTACCGATGTTCAAGTTCCCACGGTGCAATCCCTGTTGTTTTTCTGAAGCAGCACAGGTAAGTTTCTCATGGTTCTTGCTGTCTCCTCCAGCAGCATGAAGGGGGATCTTTTCAACATTGGTAAGGGATGAAAAATAAACCAGAAAACAAATCCTGTTTGTTTTTTTAAAGCCTAAATACGGGCGTTGGGTTCAAATTGTATAGAGTAAGACAAACTACGTGGCACGCTAGAAACCAACATGAGTGTGTTTCCAAAAACGTGGTTAGGGTGAAGTAAACGCTTAAAAGCACACACAAATATATTGTGTGGACAGCAATCAATAAGCAGAATCCACAAAGCACAGGGCACACGGAAGGATCTCAACGAGATCCTCCCCTCCTTCCTTCGGTGAGAACATTCACCTCTCTATCTTCATTTCCTTTTTGAGAAAATACATATGGACACGGTTGGATGACAAAACTAAAAGAGAAAAATAGGTACAATGCCTTGGCATCTGAGCTGGTATGCTGTAGGAGCCTAATTATCGTAGCAGTCATTCATTTGAGAGAGAATCAGTTTGGCTCTTTCTGGAGGGAAAGCTGGGCCCCAAGTTTCTGTCTATGCAAATTCAGCATGTTAATATTGTTAAATCACAGGAGGAAATTCTTTTCCCAAACCAGAAGCCTTCGAGTTCCTCCAGGCTTATATTAAAGGGATTACAATCCATTTCCTTCCTAATACGGCTAATGCGCTATGGGAAGCCCTCAGGCCAGGGATTAAAGCATTTATGCCTTTAATTAGGAGCAAACCTTCCCTTAGAGCCTGAAACACAAACAGCAAGTCGACACTACAAAGGCCTCCTCCCAGAGCAATGGGGATACCGATCCCTCTCCAGGAGCCAGGAGCCTCCAAAGGGCTTAGCAAACTCCCGCCTTTCCCAAACAGGGTGCCTCAGCTGGGAGGGCCCTCAGCAGAAACGGACACCCCTTCAGGTGAAGAACAAACAAACAAACAAAAACAGATCCTGTGGAGTTAATCAGAATCAGCCCCTGCCGCACAGCTCAGGGGGCAAGAGGCCCCACATCTTCGGGAGGGGGCCGGAGGGGGCCGGACACTAGAGCGCGTCAGTTTCGCTCTTCGAGATTTCCCCTGGGGACGCACACAACTGGGTCATTAGCTTTCAAGTGGACAACTCTGAAAATTAAGACGGGTTAGTGCTTCAGAGAGGTCTGTCCCCGCACAGATGCCTTCACGGGCCCCCAACACAGGGTTTGTCAACCTTTTCCATTCTAGATTCATAGCAACTAGCCGGGTCACCTAGAGCAGGCTTTCTCCAAGGGCAGCCCAGTGACCGGCTGCTTCAGAGTCCTGGATATATGTTAACACCTAGATTTTTGCTGCCACCTTCCGTGTCAGAATCTTTGGGAGTAGGAGCCAAGCCCAGAATCTACCTTTTAACAAGCCTCACGAGAGTCTTATGATTCTTTTTAATATTTTCTAAGTTTATTTATTCATTTTGAGAGAGAGATAGCATGCATGGGAAGGACAGAGAGACAGAGAGAGGAAGAGAGAGAGAATCCCGGGCAGTTTCCACACTGCACGATGCGGGGTTTGAGCTCACAAAACGTGAGATCATGACCTGAGCCAAAACCAAGAGTAGGACGCCCAGCTGACTGAGCCACCCAGGCGCCCCAGAGATTCTTATGGTTCTTATACTCAACTACAAGGAGACTATGGCCAGGCCACTCCTAGCTTTATGCCTTTATTTATTTATTTTTTTGATGTTTTATTTATTTTCGAGAGAGAGAGAGAGAGAGAGAACAAGTCAGGGAGGGGCAGAGAGAGAGGGAGACACAGAATCTGAAGCAGGCTCCAGGCTCTGGGCTATCAGCACAGAGCCCGAGGCGGGGCTCGAACCCGCCAACTGTGAGATTAACTGATTGAGTCAGCCAGGCGCCCCACCCTTAGCTTTTTCTAGAGGCGGGAGGCCAGGACCAGGGTCTTTCAGAGACTTGTACAAGTGCAGAGAGCCAGTCAGGGCCCAGCCTGGGGTGCATGCAGAATGGTAGATGTGATTCACAGTTCATGTGAATCGATACCAAAAATGCCAGTGAAATTGTTAAACTGGTATAAGAACTTGGAGTCTCCTGCTTCATTTGTTCAAAAGTAACTACTGGCTGCCTTGGGTGAGCAAGACACTGGGTCAGATGCTGTGCGTGGCCAGTCCCAGGGGGCGGGGGGGGGGGGGGGGGGGGGGGAAGGGGGCATTGTCATGGTGATAATAGGAGATGGAAAGCACAAGGTTTCTGCCATCTGAATTTTACAAACTGGTGACAGGGAGGAGGGGGAAGGGCCCAAAGGGAGGGTGAGCAAGCACAGGTAAGGGGTGCAGAAGGGAGGGCCATCTGGTATTGCCAGGGGACTACACAAATGGCAGAAGAGATGTGGTGAAATCAAGTCTTAAATGCAGAGCCTCGTTTTGTCCATATCTGGCCCATCTCTGAAGGTTCAGGTAACCTTTGACCTCTGGTAGCAACCACTTCCTGCCCGCTCACGCTCACCCACACCCCTCTCTCTGAGCATTTATAACACTCCGGCAGGTATTTGTCACATAACTGATGCTATTTCCATGTCTTTATTTAGGTGCGCCCTTTTTTTTTGCTTCCCCAAAAGATCTGAACTGCCCTTTGCCTCTCCCGAGCCTGCCGGACTAGACTTACAAGTGCTAGACCCTGCAATAGTGTTCTTTTTGAGAGTCAGAAGATTTTGCATTTGAACCCAGCTCTGCCACTTAAAAACCACGTGCCCTCGGAGAAGTTCCTTATACTGTCTTCTCGGTATCCTTCTCAAGTGGTAAAATGGGGATTCAAAATACCTACCCTGCAGGAGAATGGACTAAAATGCTGTAAATTCCCAGCTCAGCCCAATGCCTGGCCCGTCGCATGTGCTCACTAAACAAGAATGAGGGCGGAGCGTGTCCCTCAACAGAACATGATGAAAGAGACTTCTTAAAGACCATCCTGTGGGGCGTCTGGGTGGCTCCGTCAGTTAAGTATCCAACTTTGGCTCAGGTCACGATCTCACAGTTAGTGAGTTCGAGCCCCACGTTGGGCTCTGTGCTGACAGCTCAGAGCCCGGAGCCTGCTTCGGATTCTGTGTCTCCCTCTCCCTCTGCCCCTCCCCCACTCATGCTCTGTCTCTCTCTCTCTCTCTCTCTCTCAAAAATAAACAAACATTAAATTTTTTTTTTTTTTTTTTTTTTAAAGAAGACCAGTGTGGGAGAAGTGTGCAGCACAGACAGGGAAGAGGAGGGAATGACAAGAGAATGACAGCAGCTGGAGGCACCTACAAGCAGCCAGGCACTTGAGAATTGACTGGACATTTGGTGACAATGGTAACAACAGAGCACAATTGCTGGGTTATGTCCCGACTGCTTCACCCCAGTCCTTCAGTATGAATCCTTACTCTCCCCATTTTGTAAATGAGGAAAATGAGGCACAGAAGGGATAAGTGACGTGCTTAGGGTCTCACCCAGCTATTAAGTGACAGAGACAGGATTGTGGCCCCAGCTTCCTGTGGCCAGAGTTCATGTTTTCAATCCCTGAGCCCTCTGGCCTCTGCACACCTGGAGAGAAATGGGATGGGGTTCTAAAGAGGCAAGTTATACACCGGAATTTGGGGGATAGTCTCTATTTCAAACAATGTCTTGAATTCCTTGAAGAACGTGAAACGGGGCCCCTGATCTGGAGGCTGGTACCCGCCCTGAGGACGTGGCGTTCTCCGGCTGAACATCAACGAGTTCAGAGAATACTCACGTCGGACAAGACTGCTGTGATCACGATGGATCGCGACAAAAGTAAGGCAAGCAGCTATTTATGTCTGAAGACACACAAACCACGAACGTCGCCCAAAACACAGGAATGACCAAACACGGCCCTAAACGTATTATTCCTCCTGCCTGATTGACAAGAATGCTCGAGCCCCTTTACCGAGTCCTCTGTTTCCTGAAAGTGTCCAATCCAGAGCAAAGCCTCGCTTCCTTGAACCCACCCTCAAATCGCCTAATACCCAAAGCCTATAATAAATAATTTTTGAAAGCATATGGGAAAGATGGCACTATAGGAGGAGGACCCCAGGCTCGTCCCATCCCTCTGACACAACTATATAACGATCAAATCATTCTAAATACTTCAGAAATAAACACTTTTTGATTCCCCATTCTTCTAAACGCTTCTCATCGCATGTCTTCTCCCTCTTTGCAACTGGACATAAACCCAACTTGTTCAAGTCCGGGCAGATTCCTGATGGTCTTTGGATGGAAGTCATTGACATCTCTCTGGAAATCCCAACGTTTCGGCATCAAAGCTGTTTCCCAGACTGCCTCTTCCAATCAGAAGCCGAATCTTTGTCAGGCCACGCCACGGCTGGGAGCCTCGGAAAGGGCCACTGCCCTTATCTTTGGCTGCTTTTGTGTTATTTTGTGTTATGCTTTGGCTATTTTTGTGTTTCTCTCATCTCTCCCATAGAAAGGGGAAGAGTTCTCTATTGAAGTGAGGAGGAGGATCTTATTGATGCCAAAGAACTGCTAAGAAGATTGAACATGAGGCCACTTCTAGTGTGGTGACTGGCAGAGAGATCTCAAACTACAATTCTTAATTTGTCTTATTTTATTGTTATTTTAGTAATGCTTAAAAACATTTTTAAGAAATTCATATGATTAGCTTCTCTCTCTATTCTATTACAACAAATCTCAAAATATGTGATATAGGTGAGGAATGAGATGTTCAGTGAGTGTCCTCATAGCATAAATTTTCTCAATAAATGAAGCTTACTATTTTCAAAATGACATATCAAAAAAGTAACCTGTTTAATAATTTTAAAATTTTTCACATGTTTAGTAAAAGATTAGGCATGTCTCAGAAGTAAAATACACAAATGACTGGGGCATCTGGGTGTTCAGTCGGTTGAGCATTTGACTCTTGATTTTGACTCAGGTCATGATCTCACAGTTTATGGGATCGAACCCCATGTCGGGCTCTGAGCCTACTTGGAATTGTCTCTCTCCCTCTGTCTCTGCCTCTCCTCTGCTTGCTCTCTCTCTCTCAAAATAGACATTTTAAAACCCCACAAATGACCAATAAACACATCATTACAAATTAAAAGGAACGCAAACAAACATATGCAATTTTCCGTTTATCAGAACATCAAAAAAAGTCTTAAATATAAGTTCCAGTCCTGGTGTGAGGAAAACAGGTACTTCCTCATACACTATTGTTAGGAGTATAAGCTGCCATAATTCTTTTGAAGGCAATCGGAGGTGCCTACCAAAAATGTAAATGGCTGTACCTTCTGACCTTTTTGGCAACTACACTTCTAGATGTTGCCTCTTACATCAGCGACCACTCACGTGTGCAGAGATAGGCAGGACACATTCATTATGGCATTGCTTGAAATAACAAATACCTGTAACAGGCCAAATCTGTATCAGCAGGAGGTGATTAAATAAACATGGGTCCATCCGCACTATGAGATGCTTGTATGCCTTTAAAGAAAATAAGATAGATCTTCAGATGAACCGATATGGAAGGATGTCCATGTTCATGAGAAGGAGAAACCATTTCCGTGAAGATACTAAAGAATGATTTGTGACCCTCAGAGATGGCTGAATAAAATTCTTTTGCCCAGAGGCCTGGGAATGGAATGGACATTTCTAACCTCCAGGGTCTCTGGCCCATAATAAATCTAAGACGCGTTCTATGGGGGCTCAGTAACTATTGACTATTGTGATTGTCGATGACGATGATCATGAAGATGAAGAAGGGAATGGTGAAGATTCTACACCCAAAAGAGTTAGAAGAAGAATACTGCCCCTTATAGATCTTGCTCTGCCTAGAAGTTACAGCAACATATTAGAAGTGCTTATTTTTTCTCCGTGGACCTTTGTCAACTTTGCTAAGTTCTTTCACATGCCTTTTGGGCCTCGGGTCTGGGGTCAGTGGTGGGTCGGGCCATTTAGATGTTGAAAGGGCAAGGGGACCAGTAAGTCACACCCCTGTCCCTCCCGGCCTGACCTGGCACTGGCAGCGTAATCTGTGAGGGGATCTCCCTTCATGCCATCACATTGGAATGAAGTGCGGAGAGGAGCATCTCTCCTAGGAGTCGCGCTGACAGATTGGTCAGTCAGTTTGAGGTCAGCCCCTTCACACCTCATATAACGCAATCTGGCAGTGGGAGGTTGGGAAAGACTTTTTTGGTCACAAACACTTTCTAGAGAAGTTGGTGGATCTTAAAGTGTGGTCCTTGGACCTCCCGAAGTGATTGCTGAGAACACGGTCTTAAGACCTCACTACATCCCTCCCAGATCAGAATTTGATGGGGGCCTGGGGTCAGGCCGGGGGATCAGCCTGGTAAACTTGTTGTCAGGGAATTCTTTTGTGCCCTGAAGTTTAGGGACCCCTTGGCAATATTTTGCCCATAAGCAAGTATTTTGGGAATCCCATTATGACTGATTATATCTTTACGTGAAGAATTTTTGCAAGCAATCAAGTGACCACGACCCCATTACCTGGTGTAGCAAACTATGAAAAATAAATGAAACCTGATTTAAGTGGCTCCTCTGTTATATCCCAGCAATACCGGACATAACACCAAGAATAACAACCTTAGGACATGAAATAAGACTTCGAGGAAGATTGTGTACACACATGCCACTTACTGATTCCCTTAATCAGCAAACATTAAACAGCTCACAGCCATATACGAGAATTTGTCAAAAAAAAAAAAAAAGTATTAAAACTTGGTGAAGAAAAAGAACCTGTCTTCAATTCTCAGGGATGTTCTATTCGTATTCATTTGTAACGTGTGGTATACACAGAATTTTGTTTCTCCCCGCTCTTTCTACCAAAACCTTGAACGTAACTGTTTCATTGGTCAAAAGCAATTAACCACCTAAGTGTAACAATGCCTGGAGCCTCCCCCATGGCCTCCCTTCCTCTCTCCCTCCCTGCCTTCATTCTTTCCTTTCTACAAATATTTGTTGGGCACCTGATATATGCCTGGCATTTGGGAATGGGTTAGTGAACGAAGGGCGCGCCCTACCTTTTCCACTTGCTGGGATGGGTTTTGTAGTCATAACTAATCACGGAAGCATAACCATAGAAATGATTAGAAGTAATTCACGGACACACTTGATCCATAGCAGGCCCTAGTGATGGTTGCGGTTGGGGAAGCAGCAGGACTCCCTACAGGGAACACAGATTTAGGTTCAACCCAGCTGCCCTACTATTTGTGAGTGTGATTCCTGGGGAAGGCTATTTAGTTCTGCATCCTCTTACAGAAAATGCAGAGAAGAATGCCTGTCTAGTGGATTAGTTGACTGGGTTAGAAATAATAAGTATATAAAGTACCTGGCGCCCAGTAAAAGCTCAACAAATGATAGATAGCCACCCTCCCCGACCCCAAAACTCCCAGCTCTACATTTTTTTTTTAATTTTTTTTTCAACGTTTATTTTTGGGACAGAGAGAGACAGAGCATGAACGGGGGAGGGGCAGAGAGAGAGGGAGACACAGAATCGGAAGCAGGCTCCAGGCTCTGAGCCATCAGCCCAGAGCCTGACGCGGGGCTCGAACTCACGGACCGCGAGATCGTGACCTGGCTGAAGTCGGACGCTTAACCGACTGCGCCACCCAGGCACCCCCCAGCTCTACATTTTTTAAAGAACTATATATTTTGCTCTCATTCCCCTTACCAGAGGAGACATAAGTAGAAAAATGTTTCTATGGCCGATGTCAAAGAAATTCCTGCCTGTTTTCTTCTAGGAATTTTATACTTTCATGCCTCACATCTAGGTCTTTAATCCATGTTGAGTTTATTTTCGTGTGTGGTGGAACAAAGTGGCCCGGTTTCATTCTTTTGCATGTAGCTGCCCACTTTTCCCAACATCATTTGTTGAAGAGGCTTTTTCCCCATTGTATATTCTTGCCTCCTTTGTCATGGATTAATGGACCATAGGATCTGTGTTTATTTCTGGGTTATTCATTCTATTCCATCGATCCATGTGTTTATTTTTGTGCCTGTACCATTCCGTTTTGATTCCCACAGCTTTGTAGTTTATCTTGAAATCTGGGATTGTGATACTTCCAGCTTTGTTCTTTTTCCAGATTGCTTTGGCTATTCAGGGCCTTCCATGGTTCCACACACATGTTAAGATTATTTCCTCTAGTTCTGTGAAAAATGCCCTTGATATTTTGGTAGAGATTTCAGTAAATCTGTAGCTTTGTCACATTTTAACAATATTGGTTTTTCCAATCCATAGCACAGAATATCTTTCCATTTGTGTCATTTCCAATTTCTTTCAACAAGGATGATATGATATATACGATCAAGGATGAATATCCAAATATATAAAGATAAATAATCTGATTAAAAATGGGCAAGGACCTGAAGAGACATTTTTCCAAAGAAGACGTGCAGATGGCCAACAGACACAGGAAAAAACGCTCCCCATCACTAACCATCAGGGGACTGCAGATTGAAACCACAATGAGATACTACTTTGTACCTGTCAGAATGGCTAAAATCAAAAACACAGTGAAAAACAAATGCTGGCGAGGATGTGGGGAAAAAGGAACCCTGGTGCTCTGTTGGTGGAAATGCAAACTGGTGCAGCCAGTGTGGAAAAGAGTGTGGAGGTCCCTCCAAAAATCAAAAAGAGAACTGCCATGTAATTCCACCACCAGGTATTAACCCAAAGGAAATGAAAACACTAATTCTAAAAGCTATATGCACCCCTATGTTTACTGCAGCATGATGTACCTTAGCAGGGGCAGCCAGGGTAAGACCAAGTGTCCTTCCATAGATGAATAGATAAAGAAGACGTGGTACATATGTACAATGGAATAGTATGCAGTCATAGAAAGAAGGAAATCTTGCCATCATGATGGATCTAGAGAGTATAACGCTAAGGGAAGCAAGTCAGTCAGAGAAAGACAAATACCACATGATTTCACTCATATGTGGAATTTAAGAAACAAAACAAATGAAGAAAGGAAAAAGACACAACAAAATCAGACTCTTAAATACGGAGAACAGAGGGGAGGT